TATTGAGAATTGTCTATTTAGTTCTGTATCCCACTTTTTAATTGCATTGTTTGGTGTTTTGGAGACTAGCTTCTTGAGTTCTTTGTATAATTTGGAGATCAGCCCTCTGTCAGATGTGGGGTTGGTGAATATCTTTTCCCAGTCTGTGGGCTGCCATTTTGTCTTGCTGACTCTGTCCTTTGCCTTACAGAAGCCTCTCAGTTTCAGGAGGTCCCATTTATCAATTGTTGATCTCAGTGTTTGTGCTATTGATGTATTGTTCAGGAAGCAGTCCCCTTACCAATTAATTCAAGGGTATTTCCCACTTTGTCTTCTAATAGAGTTAGTACGACTGTGTTTATATTGAGGTCTTTGATCCATTTTGACTTAAGTTTTGTTCACGGAGATAGGCTTGGGTCTACAAGTCCACATCCAGGTATGCCAGCACTATTTGTTGAAGATGTTCTCTTTGTTCCAGCGTATAAATTTGGATTGTTGGTCAAAAATCAGGTGTTCGTAGGTGTGTGGGTTAACATCAGGGTTTTCAACTCTATTCCATTGGTCTACCTGTCTAGTTTTGTGCTAATACCCAGCTGTTTTCAGGACTATAGCTCTGTAATAGAGCTTGAAGTCAGGGATGGTGATGCCTCCAGAAGTTCCTTTATTGTACATGGTTGTTTCGGCTATCCTGGGTCTTTTGTTTCTCCATATAAAGTTGAGAATTGTTCTTTCAAGGTCTTGTGAAGAATTGTGTTGGGTTTTAGATGGGGATTGCAATGAATCTGTAGATTGCTTTTGGCAAGATTATCATTTTTACTATGTTGATCCTACCTATCCAGGATAATGGGGGGATCTTTCCATTTTCTGGTATCTTCTTTAATTTCTTTCTTTAGAGACTCAAAATTCCTACAGTACAGTTCGTTCACTTTTTTGATTAGTGTTACCACAAGGTATTTTATGTTGTTTGTGGCAATTGTAAAGTGTGATATTTCTCTGATTTCCTTCTCCACCAATGTATCATCGTTATATATTAGGGATATAGATTTTTTTTTAGTTATTCTTGTATCCTGCCACTTTCCTGAACGTGTTTATCTGCTGTAGGAGTTCCCTGGTAGTATTTTTTGGGTCACTTACGTAGACTACCGTAACATCTGCAAATAGTGAGAGTTTGACTTCTTCCTTTCCAATTTCTATTCCTTTGATCTCCTTTTGTTGTCTTATTGCTCTAGCTAGAACTTTAAGGACAATATCGAAAAGATATGGAGAGAGTGGAGAGAGATATGAAGAGATATGGAGAGAGAAATTGCGTTGAGTTTCTCTCCATTTAATTTCATGTTGCCTGTCGGCTTGTTGTATATTGCTTTTATTATGTTAAGGTATGCCCCTGTTATCCCTGATTTCTCCAAGACCTTTATCATGAAGGGGTGTTGGATTTTGTCAAAGGCTTTTTTTGGCATCTAGTGAGATGATCATGTGTTTTTGCTTTTTCCTCAGTCTCTTTACATGGTGGATTACATTGATGGATTTTCGTATGTTGAACCATCCTTGCATCCCTGGGATGAAGCCTCCTTGATCATGGTGGATGATTTTTCTGATGTGTTCTTGGTTTTGATTTGCCAGTAATTTATTGAGAATTTTTGCATCAATGTTCATGAGGGATATTTGTCTGTAGTTCTCTTTCTTAGTTGTGTCTTTCTGTGGCTTGAGTATCAAGGTTATTGAAGCCTCATAAAAAGAGTTTGGCAATGACCCTTCTGCTTCTATTGTGTGGAATACTTTGAGGAGTACTGGTATTAGCTCTTGTTTGAATCTGTACTGAAGCCATCTGGCCCTCAGCTTTTTTTGGTTGGGAGACTTCTGATGACTGCTTCTATTTCATTAGGGGTTATCAGTCTATGTTCTGCTTCTATTGTGTGGAATACTTTGAGGAGTACTGGTATTAGCTCTTGTTTGAATCTGTACTGAAGCCATCTGGCCCTCAGCTTTTTTTGGTTGGGAGACTTCTGATGACTGCTTCTATTTCATTAGGGGTTATCAGTCTATGTAAGTTGCTTATCTGTTCTTGATTTAATTTTGTAAGTGAAATCTGTCCAGAAAGTTGTCCATTTCCTTTAGATTTTCGAATTTTGAGGAATATAGGGTTTTGAGGTATGACCTGATGATTCTCTGGATTTCCTCTGTGTGTTTTGTTAGGTTCCCCTTTTCATTCCTGATTTTATCAATTTGCATGTTCACTCTCTGCTGTTTGGTAAGTTTGGGTAAAGGTTTGTCTATCCTGTTGATTTTCTTGAAGATCCAACCCTTCATTATATTGATTCTTTGTATTGTTCTCCTAGTTTCCATTTTATTGATTTCAGCCCTCAAGTTGATTACTTCCTGGCATCTGCTCCTCCAGGGTGTATGGGCTTCTTTGTGTTCTAAAGCTTTCAGTGTGCTGCTAATTCTCTAGTGTGATTATTCTCCTGTTTCTTCATTTGGGCACTTAGTGCTATGAACTTTCCTCTTTGCACTGCTTTCAAAGTGTCCCATAGTTTTGGGTATGTTGTGTCTGCATTCTCATTGAATTCTAGGAAATCTTTAATTTCTTTTTTTAATCCCTTCCTTGAACCATGAATTGTGCAATTGGGTGTTACTTACTTTGCATGAGTTTTTAGGTTTTCTGTAATTCATGTTGTTGTTGAATTCTAACTTTAAAACATGGTGATCTGATAAGATACAGGGGGTTATTTCAATTTTTTTGGTACCTGTTGAGGTTTGCTATGTTGCCAAGTATGTGGTCGATTTTAGAGAAGGTTACATGTGGTGCTGAGAAGAAGGTAAATTGTTTTGTATTTGGATGGAATATTCTATAGATATCTGCTAAGTCCAATTGCGCCATATCTTCAATTAGTTCCTGTGTTACTTTGTTAAGTTTCTGTCTGGTGTTGCTGTTCAGTGGTGAGAGTGGGGTGTTGAAGTCTGCCAGTATAAGTGTGTGCGGTTTTATGTGTGATTTGAGCTTTCGTAATGTTTCTTTTGCAAACGTGGATGCCTTTGTATTTTGAGCATAAATGTGCAGAATTGAATCTTCATCCTGACGGATTTCTCCTGTGATGAGTAGGAAGTGACCTCCTTCATTTCTTTTGATTGATTTTAGTTTAAAGTCCAATTTTTTGGATATTAGGATTGCTACCCCGCTTTGATTGGAAAATCTTTCCCCAACCTTTAATTCTTAGGTACCATCTGTCTTTGAAGTTGAGGTGTGTTTCTTGTATGCAGCAGAAGGATGGATTCTGTCTTCTTATCCATTCTGCTAATCTGTGTCTTTTTATAGGCAAGTTAAGACCATTAATGTTGATGGATACTAATAATCTTTGATTATTATTATTATTGTTTGTTCTTGATTTGGTGATGGTGGGGAAATTATGTGTGGGTTTCTATACCTTTTTCCTTTTGGCTGTTGGTAAAGTAGGATTATCTATTGTCTATATTTTTTTGGTTGTAGTTAACTTCCTTGGTTTGCAGTTTTCCTTCCAGAACTTTCTGTAGGGCTGGATTGGTGGATATGTATTGTTTGAATCTGGTTTTGTCATGGAATATCTTGTTTTCTCCATCTATCTTGATTGAAAGCTTTCTCAGTATAGTAGTCTGGGCTGATATCTGTGGTCTCTTAGTGTAGGTAGAGGGAGGGAAGAAAAGAAAACCACACCACAAGGAAAAATTAAGTCCTGAATGACTGCTCCATCATGCCCACCCTCTCCACCCTAAAATGGCACAAAAGAAATAGCTAATAGTACTTTTGGTGTAAAACTGGAAACTGATGGGCTAGGATGGGAACAGGGCATGGCGATCTGTCTTAAAAGTCCCTTCTACATAGGTGTGTACATGCTTCTCAGCAGTTAGGATTGGGACACCAAGATTCGATGCTCAGGAAGTCACAATTTCATCTGTGGACTCGACTCAGATTTACAAAGGACCCGCACATTCCCAGCTTCCACTTGCAGCCTGACGTCTCTGGAGTGGCTCCTCCCCAACCCACATCTACAGCTAAAAGGATCCTTTTAGGAATGGATTTCTGCTGTGCCTCTGAAATGGAAAACACCTTAAAGCCGAGTCATCCTTAGCCTGGACATCTAATGTGGTATTTATTAATTCTCGCATCCCCAACATACAACTTTAAAAGGCACACTAAATTCTGAAGGTAGCTATACTGCAAAATAGTTTAAAATTAATGATTGTACAATATTCATTTATGCTTGAAATTCCAGTCCTAGACCAAGCTTGTGGCCACCCGCATTGACGTTCTTGCCTTCCAGCAGAGCTGACAGCGTCAGTTTGATACCTGGCTTTAGGGTCTGAGTGTACCCTAAACCGATCAGGCTAGAGTTGTTCACTTTGGCCGAAAAGCAGACATCAGGGTCGACCTGATACTTGGCTGCTATTCCAAAGCGAGTGTTACTGTTTCCTGCTGTCCAGGCGAGATTGATAGCAGTCTCCAACTTCTTGTTTACCTTTTGGTAAATGGAGCCTCCAAACTGTCCTATCGTTCACATTAGTAAGAAGCTGGAACTCATCCGTCTTGTACCCAACTGCCAAGTTGCTCTGGGTCACTCGGGACTTCGAAGTCTCAAAATTCATCTGGTAGCCAGCCAGCCAGCCCTCATAGCCAAGCACCAGAGCACCCCGGATGGAGGGCCCAGCAATGTCAAAGTCTACATCACAGACCAGGTTGATATGCTCCCTCTTGTACCCTGTTTTGATTTTAGCATTTTTTTCCCCCAGTGTTAGGCGAGAAGGATGAATCAAAGGTCAGCTTCAGTCCATGGGTGAGCTGGTCTTCCACGGTACTCACGGTACCCAGAGTGTTGTCTGTGTTCCACTTCTCTGTAAATGTCAGCTCATACTGGGTCCGTCTGTACTTGGTTTCCAGGCTGCCATTCACTTTGGTGGTCTCTGTGTTGGCGGAGCCTGAACTGGTAAATTCCAATCCATTCTCGGACTTCGTTTTCAAATCAAGTTTTATTAAGCCAAAGCCGTAGCCCTTGGTGAAAACATCCCTTGCAGACTTGCCAAGATCAGCATATGTGGGAGGCACAGCCATCTTCTTGGAGGCAGTGATGGCAGGAGCAGCGGCAGCTATGGCAGGGGCGGGGGCTGCGGCCAGGAGGCTAGGAGCACAGGGAGCAGGCCGAGGGAGGAGCTGCGCGGATCACCTCGGTGCGAACACCGGGAAAGTTTTCTCTATGATTTTGTTGAATATGTTTTCTGCACCTTTGGGTTGGATATCTTCACCTTCTTCTATACCTATTTTTCTTAGGTTTGGTCTTTTCACAGTGTCCCATATTTCCTGAATATTTTGTGTTAGGGATTTGTTGGACTTAACATTTTCTTTGGTTGTTGAGTCTATTTCCGTTAGTGTGTCTTCAACTCCTGAGATTCTCGCTTCCATCTCTTGTATTCTGTTGGTTATGCTTACGTCTGTAGTTCCTGGTTGTTTACCCAGATTTTCTATTTCCAGCATTCCCTCAGATTGTGCTTTATTGTCTCTATTTCAGCTTTTAGGTCTTGAACTGTTTCCTTGAGGGATTTGTTGATATCTTGTGTTTTTTGGTTTGTTTTTTTCTTCTATGTCTTTAGGGATTGTTT